TTTTTTTTTTACAGTGAAACTGTTTTTGTTCGGATTTCAGTATTTTTTGTAATTATAATAAAAATTGACAATTTTAATTCAATGCATTTCCGGTGGCAAACTAGAAACTATCCCCTTTAAGCTATAGTTCATGTAAAAGTTATTCTTGCGCCGTCTGGCGTGTGTAATTGCAAGCTGTCAAATATCTTTTTTTCACTGTAGTTTCTCATCTATTATAAGATTAGCATGCATCTTTATATTATTTAGTCTCTGGCCGTCCGCTTTTTACATAAGAAAAAAGTTAAAATCTAAAAATCTGGGTCGCTATAGTTTGTGCTGATTATTTTTAATAATTTTAAATAGAAATTATAAAGATAATTGATAATAATCAAGTAATACGCGTAATAAAAAGCATGAACTACTATTATAAAATATCATATAAAAAAAAAAATCAAATTAAATTTGAAAAAAAATTTGTAACCTCAAAAAACCGTTCTGCTTACGGTATATACACACACTCGGTAGTCTGGCTAGAGAACGGAACTTGGCGCCAGATTCTACCGAATCTGTTGATTATAAATTTTACAAATATTAACTATGTAAACATTTTCTCATTTAACAAAGTAAAATTACTCAGAAAAAAATCTTTCATAATAACTACATAAAAATATGAATTTAAATAATTATATAATCTTCAAACATTATCCTAAAAACTAACCCAAAAATTAAATAATGCCTCGGGTTATGAGTAATAATGTTTTTAATCGATTGCCGACATCCGTCAACATAAATTTGAATATTTAATCAAATTTTAATCTACTTTTAAGTATAAAATTGCTCTCCATTGATGGAAAAATTTAATAACTCTGGAAAAAAGTACATTTAATAACGTTTAAAAAATATTTATTTAAAAGAATTTATTGCCAATATTATTTTTCGTTTATTTTTTCTCTCTATCATTAAAAATAGATTATTTATTAATTGCGAGTAAATATATTTCATCTATTGAATATCTTCCATCAAATAAAAACTTTTTAGAGCCAGTGTATTAATATGGATGAATTAATAAATCAAAAATAACGGTGCGTAGAACTTTAATTAGACAAGGACTGTCGGAAAAATTCACTAGAGCAAGAAGAGAAAATTGGATATGATTAACAAAGATAATAACAATAAGTATTTTTAATTTTTACGGTCAAATGTATCAGAGATAAATTAATAATAAAGATTCGATTAAATAATTATTTTTACCGGGACAAAAAATTGCAATTTATTGAAATTATTATTTTGGGATTCATATTTTCTCTATTTTTTAAGAAGAAAACTATTTATTGCACACGCAAAAGTCAGTACTTATTGTTCAGTAAAAACTCGCAACATTTCTTGTTGAATAAAACGCCAGCTGAACTTTCTCCAGTGACCTTAAAACCGGTACAAAGTTACCCGAACTGTAAAGAAAGTGCATCGTCCCTCTGTAAGCAGTATCTTGAGAGATACATCCTTTTTTTTTTTCACCGGTAAAGATACTTATTAAAATCATTCATAATTTACGTATTTTCAACTTCATATTTGATTACTTTATCTCAAAAATTGCATAATGGATCATTTTTAAGGTTAAAAAAAAAATACTTTCTTTTTATAATCTTATTTTCATTTATTTTATACAATCATAAATTTTTTAATAATATTTACACTTTTTAAGGCCCTTTTTTATGTTTCAAATCAAAACAATTTTTTTCTGTCTAATTAAATAATTTAATTTGCAGTTTTTTTTCTTTTGAAAATTCTGATCTTTATTTTTAATTTGATAAAAATTAAACTGTAAAGAATACCTTCACTATAATAATTTTTTTGAAACTAATATTTAAAAGAAGAAATTTTTAGAAAATATCCTTTAAAAATATTATAATGTCACATTAAATGGGAAGAAATATCCCATGGCATAATTTTACCGTCTGTCGGTAAGTAAAATAATATTTAATGTTCTTTCATAAAAATTTTGTACATAAAAAATAGTACAAATAATTTTTAGCGAGAAAATTTTTTTTTGTACTGATTTATGGATTTTCATTGACAATTTAAATTATTTAATGAATAATTTAGGCTTTAAAAAATGACAACAAATTATTGTTTGTATATTTTTATGAAAAACTAAAAAATCGATAATTTTTAAGTTCGTAGTAGATTTTTTAATGTAATAAAAAAAACTCCAAAGCATTCAAGTGTTTATAAATGTATGAAATTTAATCATTTTGAAATCATTCACTTAATAAAATTGGCACATTTATAAAAACATTAAATATTATTATCAATAATATTAAACAATTTTTTTTTTATTTAATTACACATTTTTAAAAATTAAAATATCTTTATCGCAAAATTCAAAGTTTAATAGTAACTTTTCCTTATATAATTTTTTCTACTCTTACAGTTTACAGTAAATTACTATAACATATGGCTTTGTATGCATATTTCAGCGGTAGCTTAAAAAATTACACAAAACATACATTTAATATCGAAAAAACGAATTTTCATTGATTAAAATTTGGCATAAAAAATTTAGCGCTTAATAATTTTAATTAATTATTTAATTGCCATCAATGATCCATTTTATAGTGTATAAAAATATCTTCAAAGTTATGTACATATAGATCTATTATTAATCTTAAAAAAAAAGTTAAATAATGGATCATTGTGGCAAGAATAATAATAATAATAATCCGTTATGCAAATTTTTTTTATTTTCACTCAAAGTGTAAGATTGAATAAAAAATATTTGCAAATTACGGTCCAGTGAGAGTATAGTAGTTATAATAAGTAGTTTTATAGTAATTGTATAATTATATTAAGATCTGGTGCAGAGATCATCTGAGAATAACGTTATCAAATGTAAGATCTCTGCTATCTCGTTGAGTCGATTTTTTAAATGGGTTCCAAGGAATACGTCGAGCGACATGAGCTGTTGTGACAGATCCAGCTGGACTTGGTTGACCGGAAGACACTCCTGAAGAACTACTTGCTGACACGCTACCTTTATCGTGATGACTAGTCTTCACAGGTTTCTATAAAATATCATCATTATTATTTAAAAAATTAATTGACTTGAAAAATACAGTTATAAATACTAAAAAAAAAAAAAAAAACAATTTTTTACTAAAAAAAAAAAATGTCAATAGTATCAAGATACAAAAATTCTCAATAAATACTATTCAGTAGATAATTATCTGAATATTTAATAATAAACTTTCTATTCGTAGAAATTAGCAAGCATAAAATTATCACCTGATATATTCTAAGTGGCACAGTGAACTGATCGCTTCCTAAATTAAAATTTACTATTGACTTCATAATTATAACTCCTGACTTTTAATTCAAATTTAACAATTCATTCGACTGCTTGAAAAATATTATAAAATTATTAATAAATCAATTGATTTTTTTCTTTTGATAAATAATTGTAATAAATTAAAAACAAATAATTATAACAATTGAATCTTATTTAAAATGATTGATTCCATCGAATTTTTCCGTAAAATTTCTTCCTTAATAAAAATAATTATTAATTTCTTAGTCTTAAAAATAATTAGTTAATTTCTTCATTATTAAAATGAATAATAACCTTTAAATAATTTCTATCCATAGGTGTTACGAGTTTTAAACTAATAGAATCTCCGCATTGTTTGATCAAGCGTACAACTTGTTCATGGGAGGCCCATTTGACATCTTTGTCATCGATGTTCACAATAAAATCACCTTCCTTCATCCCACCAAGCTGTTGAATCAAAAAATAAAATATTAAAATTTATTTTACGAGACTCATTATTGTATTAATTAATATAGTTGTTGTGTTTAAATGTCTTACATCTGCCAACGAATTATGGTCAACAGCAGCAATAATAACAGGAGCATCTCCTCTTACGCTGAATCCAAAACCCTCGCCACCGGGTCCACGTTGTAATTGAATAGATCGGGGAGCTGTCCAGTGTCTTTTAGCTGAAAATATGGCTACGGGACCGAGTGATTTGAAAAGATCATCAACTCCGTGCTGACCGAAATCTGGATGCGTGATGCTCAGTTGAAACTTTGATGATGCTGAAATATTTTATTTCATTTTTAGTTTGTTTTAGTTTTTGTTTTTACTGATGAAGAAACGGCTTAATAAAAATATATTACCAACTATATGTGGCGGGTCAAGAAGTTCCCGTAAATCATCTTCATCTCCCGCGTCGTTGTAATTTTTCAAAGTAGCATCATGAGCTCTTTTTAATACTTTAGCTAACGCCTGTTTGCCCTTTAATTCTCTGCACATTCTTTGTAATCTCTGGCTTTCTTCATGAAGGACTAAACTTTCGCGTAGATGTGCTCTCCCTATTGATAAAATATTCTATTTATTAATAAATTAAATCAAATGTCATTTATAATTATATCAAATTGTATATTAAATATGAAAATAAATATCATTATAATACATTATTAAATTATTTCCATAATTTTGGTCAATTAATATGAAGTATTAAATAAAATTTGCTTAGTATTTGATAAGATTTAAAACTCAAGTCAGATAAACCCCTAAAGAGGGTCAAAAATCATATTTATTTCAGAACAACTCTCTAGTAACGAGATGCTTAAGCGATCATGCGCCATCTATTAGAGATTTTAAGCACTACCCGCATGGAAAAATATATATGTGAAAAATATATGCAAATATATATTTTCACATATATTTTTTTTGCGCTAAATATATGTCCACATATATGTGCACATATAAATGTCTAGAGATTCACAGAAAAAAATTTAACTTGAATCAAGAAAATAATTTTGAAAAATTTAACTTTTTTGATTTGAGTAAAAAAATTCTCAAACTTAGAAATTTTTTTTCAGTGTATGATTACATATATGTCGACATATATGTCTACATATTTGTAAGCATCTATGTGAAAAATATATGTTGACATATTTTTTTTTTGCGTAAATATATACGGCATATATATTATATATGCGATATATATTTTTGACATATATATTTCTCCATGCGGGTAACTACAATCAAAAAATTATATATGAGTATATATGACCAAATCAGGTCTAATACCGGCACCTAAAGTTAGTTGAAGACATATTTAGTTATATTATGTCCTGATATAAAAATTGGCTATATAAAAAATGATATATTTTTGTACAATAAACTCTGTACAGTTTTAACAATTAGTTCTTTTATTTTTTCAAAATTAAAACGGCAAAATAAAATTACCTAGAGCTCTTCGTTCATTATCATCTTTAGGAATAATATTATCCATTTGAGTTTTCCCGTCACTTTCTTGGATATGTTCGAGCGTAAGCTTAGTTTCCATCCTAAATTCCGCAATAGGCTTGGCAAGCAATCCAGCCGCGCAGTGTTTATGCGCGAGCGCTAAATGATGTTCACGCTTGACAAGGACCAAAGACACCCAGGATTCAGGTACGTAATCACGAACAGGTTCACGTGATATTAATCCATGGACGTCATTGTAGACAGCAGCTACTTGAGCCGCTTCTTGAGCAAGGTCCAAGCAGATGTCGACGTTTCTCGATTCACGTGACTGCAATTCGAGTTTTTCAAACAGACACTCGCGAGCCTGAGCCAACATCAACTGCACCAACATGTCCAGCATGTCAGGACCAAGATCCATGCTCGGCGCGTTCGTAAAGTTCTCATGGATGTAGCGGAAGGTACCCGCGGCTCGTAGAAATGCGTCTACAGCTTGATCGAGTCCTTTAGTGCTTCTTCTGTCCTGCTTTGCTCCTAATTGCGTGTACAGAGCCCCCGCGTTGAACAGAATCGAGGCCTTTTCGAATGCTACCGTTCTTTGGCAGCTTGGCACTCCTGTCAATGAATCGAACCACTCGAAATATATCCCGAGGCTTCGGTCCGGTGGGAAAAATCGTCTTTCGATGAAGTATAGTTGGTTGTAATAGCGGAATAGTAATGCTATGCCGGTTGCGTCTCGCGTTGGGGTTCTTGTCGCCTAAAAATTGAATATTAATATTAAAATATTGTCTTTTTTTTATTATTATTTTTCGAGGATAATAAATTAATCTTTTTGATAATTTTATTTATTTTTTATCAAACTATTTAATTTAATAATTGTTATTATTAAAATGTACAATTTTACATTGAATTTAATATTAATATTAAAATATTATGTTTCTTTTTTTTATTATTATTTTTAGAGGATAATAAATTTATTTTTTTGATAATTTTATTTATTTTTTATCAAACAATTTAATTTAATTATTGTTATTATTGAAATGTACAATTTTATAATGATTCATTAAATTTTGAGAAATATTTTTAATTTTATTAATAAATATTAGAAGGATTTATTTGCATCAAAATATTAAATAAATATTTCTTAGTATTTAAGATGATTTGTTTTTATTCAAAACATCTGATATTTATTTATTAAATATTAATAAATCTTTTAAATACTAAGAAATATTTTTAAGGACTAAAAAGTGGTCTCTAATAAATGATTTGTTAAATATTAACAGTGTAATTTAAAAAATTTATCACCTGTCTTGTTTCCATAAGATCAGCGACAGCTTCTTCATAATTTTCACCATCTTCACTGTAATGTTCTAAAATAAAATCCTAAAACAAATAAGATACCATTAGTAAATATTTTTCTATACAATATACTTAATTCGTAACCATGGGTTACTTCTACAAGCGCTTAATCAATATTTACTATTTACACTCGTAAAATAACCTTAACCGCGTAGATTTTCTCGAGTTATTTAATTTAAAAGTAATTATTTAACTTAAAATGGTGAGAATAACTGTGGATCTAATTCGAAAACGTTCTGAGCACAACGAAGGTGAGATTTCAACCCTAGAAGAAATAGCCCTTCACCAAGAAAACATTGAAAAAATTGAACTTATTGACAAACTTTCGCGCAACCTCAAAATTCTTTTGATGCAAAACAACATAATAAGCAAAATTGAAAATCTAAATATGTTAAAAAAACTCGAGTATTTAAATCTGGCTATCAACAACATCGAAGTTATTGAAAATCTCGAAGGACTTGAAAGTTTGATTAAACTAGACCTCACTGTTAATTTTATTGGAGACTTAAGGGGTGTCAAAAAATTACGGTAATTTTTATATACTTTATTAACTATTTATAAATAAATTTTTATTATAATTAATATTTATTAATGAAGTTAAAAAAAAAATAGTTAGATGTAATAAATTAATCAAATGTTTGCATGTAATATATCTAAATGAATTTATGAACAGTTAATAAATAAAATAAAATCTTGTAACGGCGTATGATGCATTACGTATTATGTGTTGATATTTATGTGTTGAATTGTGGGATTTTTAGGTGTAATGAACATTTGAAAGAACTATTTCTAACCGGAAATCCTTGTACAGAATACTTGGGTTACCGTGATTACGTAATAGCAACACTGCCGCAATTAAAAGAACTCGACATGACAGAAATAACTCGATCTGATCGGATTAAAGCGCTTCAAAGGTACGCGGAAATTGAAGGAGATGTCATTAGAGGCTACTGGGATTATTGCAAAATTAGAAAAAAGCAAATTGACTCTTTTAATCAGCGAGAAAAATTGATGATTACTGAAGTTCCGAGCGGTCTTCAAGGTGCTAATGAAGAATATCAAGATCAAGACCAAGACCAAGATGACAATTCGAAATTCTGGAACAGTAAAAGTTATCACACACCAGAAGATCGGGTTGCTATTGCGAACAAAACACTCGAAATAGCCGAGAAGAAAAACAAGAAAAAAGATAACAAATTGGAGAAAAAAAAATACATTCCGAAGTTATTCAATTCTGAAGGACGCGCTTACAATATTAATCAAGCCAAGGTTAGTTTCACGCTCAATGATGATGATCGGGATAATATTGTCCTTGAAATTTCTCTTTACAGGTATGAATTTATTTTTTTTTGTGGAAAAATTTTCCATTATATATTTTTTTATTCTTATATAAAGCTTGCTATGGCCATCTATGATCAGATTATGCCATACAAAACCAAGGATTTTGCTTTATTAAATAATGACTTTTATTAAATTGCACTGTACTTTTTTAACTATTGACATTTTTAAAGATATAAGCTCATCCCGATGTTACACTCATCAAGAGCTTTCATTTGAATACCCACATTCATTTTCATATATTTTTCATATATACATATATATAATATATATAAATATATGAAAAATTGATGTGGGTACTCAAATGAAAGGAAACTTATATCTTTAAAAATGTCAATAGTTCACAAGATACAAGGTCATTTCTTAATTATTGATATTTTTAAGGATAAAGTTACATTAGAAAATTTTTGTACGGGCTTAAAAAATTCTTGATTTTCCTTACAAGGAAACGAACTAAATTTTCTTCTTTCAGACACTTGGATACGTCGTATGTAGATATAGACGTCCAACCAAACTACGTGCGAGCGACAATAAAAGGAAAAATCCTCCAACTATCACTTCCGTGTGAAGTATCCACAGACTCAAGTGTCGCAAAAAGAAATGTCGCAACAGGGAATTTAGTGGTAACCATGCCGCGGTTAGCCCCCTTGCCATCTCTCGTTAAGCCTCTGAGTTACGCAACTGAATCTTGCAACAACCAAAGATCGAGCAAGATTGTCCGATCTGCACCTGTCGTTTCTAGGCGAGAATTTTTAGAAATCGGCCCGAGAAATGAAGAAATGGATTTTTCTAAAATTTACAAGGAAAATATTTCTAATGATAAACATCGGACGGATTTTATTGACGATCCAGATGTACCTCCGCTAGAATAATTAATAAATAGTAAATTTTACCTTGAAGGGGTCTTGAAAATCAATGTCCTTGGTCTCCTTTAACCCCAATGGGATCATTGGCATAACTGGCTCTTGTCTAAAAATATAAAAAAAAACATTTAAAGCTTATCTTTTGGGAATTATTATTATTTACTAAAATTTAAAGTTGGCCCGTTAAAATTTAGTGTTGGTTTTAACGATCGATAAATCATTGTCCGGTCCCGTATGTTCGACTTCCCGTTACAAAATACAACTCTTGTCGGCACGAAATTGACGAGAAATGTATTATTATTATTATTATTATTATTATTATTATAGCGATATAAAGAAAAAAAAAAAAAATGTTTTATTGGGAAATTTTTATCAACAAACTATCAGATAATTTATGGAAAAATATATGTAGAGATAAATTAGATAATATTGAAATAGATAAAAATGTATTATAGCACGCGCTCATAATTATATCCTGTATGATGTTTTTATTTGATAAATATTAATAACAGTAGTACGTGTATTAAGAAGTCTAGTTATATTAATAACGCCGAGAAAGATAATATGAGGCGATGATGAGATCAACTGGTGCTACCAAGCGTACTTAATATAAGTATAAGGAAAAACAAGTTGAAGAAAATGCATTAGCAATATGGCGTTGCCGGTAATATAAGGATAAAATAATTTGTGGGATGGATAAAGGGAACATGTATGATGGAGAATGCAGAGAAGTGTAAAGTATCCGCTGAAGGATGTTAGATGTTATTGTATAGTAGGCGGACAGTGACCCAGGAACCGAAGCATAGCGGATGGACCGGCAAACTCACAACTATGGATCGTCCAGTAGTATATAGTATACTGGAGTACATAGTACGAGAAAACTCTTAAGTTAGCTTTACTTAATAAGCTTAACTTGTTGAGGTGTAGTGATGAGGAAGTGCTCAAGCATTGCGTTCATTCTGAGGAACGTTCTCGCGCCTTTTATACGCTCAACGTCATTACGTGTTTATAAGAAATGTGAGTAAGTATCTGCTCGATCCTTAATATAATCCACGTAACTTCTCCAAGAAGCTACATTTTTTTAAATGGAATCTATTGTTAATATTTTAGACAGAAAAATTTTTTTGAAAAAAGATTGATAAGGTTTTTTAGCTTTATAATTCGTAATTATTTTTTAATTTAAAATTTAATCTATTTAATTAAAAATTGAATTGTATAAATAAAATTAATTTATTATTAAAATAATTTCATCTGATGTAAATAAATATTTTTTTTTTCTATTAAAATTTTATATAAAATTATCAAGAAATTGAAAGTAGATAAAAAGTGAAAACATAAATTGAAATTAATTTTTTTTATTAAAATAATAAGTTTGGCCTTGAAAAAAATTTTTGATTTTTTCTTAAAGATTAATAAGGTTTTTTCCTCGTATAAAAATATTTATAATCCAACTAAAAAAATTTAACAAACTAAAAAACATTAAAAATAACTATTTTATTGTTTAACTAATCAGAATCCCTATAAGCTAGAAGACTTTTAAAGCTTCGATAAACCAAATTAGTAAAGACAGTTTATTTATTCTCTCACTCAAATGTGACCGCGAATTTTATCTCTTTACACAGCGGCTTATACTCCCTGGTTAATACGATTACGGAATAATACAATATCATACTATTAACAGAATTATGTTATTAAGCTATTGGATTTGCTACGGCTTTTAGACACAAACAGCTTAAAAAAATGATAAATAAAAAAATAATTACCCATCGACATTTTGATAGAGCTCGACGGAACTATTAAGCTCGGCAAGCTGCTCCTTCAGCAACTGAAGATTTGAATTAACAAAACTGAGCTCCAGCGCAACTGTTTCTTTTAATTTCCGGTTTGTGGTTGCTCTGAAAGTCACGGGATATTTTTATTTTTATTAAGAAAATTAGTTTGATATTATACAACTTGAGTTTCGAGACTCGCTTTGCATTATTTTTTATCTTTTTGCAAATATAAACTCACTTGAAGAGATTTTCTGCGCCAGCACGTAGTCTCAGCTCTTTGTTTATTTCCTGGTTGAGTTTGCTGCGTCTGTTTTGAAGTTTTCCTCGACATGTTGCTACTCTGGGATCCGAACCCTTTAACAAAACAAAGGATAAATAAATATTTAGCTCTTTAATATTAATTATAAGAGTATAATATATATTATAAAAAGTAAACCGTGTTAACTGTGTTGTTTAATGGCTAAATGCAAAATAACTTGAGGTTGTTAAAACGTTTAAAATTAAAACCATATAAGTACCGTTCAAGTTATTTAGAGAGCGATATGCTCTTGATTACACATGTGCATTTTCTTCGGGAATATAAGCTCTACCTGTTTTAGTTATTAATATATATGTATTAACGGTAGCCAGATGCAAATTCATTTATGAGAATGAGAAAAATTTTAATTTCCGAGTATTAATTCTGGGTTTGTATGAAAAATTTCATTTTTTTACATTACATTAAATTTTTAATTCATTTTATGGTCGTAACGGTTTCAATTTTAATCAGAATTCAGTTTGGTTTTTAATTTTATTTTTTTTAAGTGTCTAGGAGTTTAATAAAAAATTTACTAGTAGCTTTGCAGTCACTACGTGACTTTTGAACTATAAATAAGTAAAACTTTGCTTTATTGAATAATGACTTTTGTTAAATTGCACTGTACTTTCTTAAATATTGACGTTCTTGAAGATATAAGTTCATTCTGATGTTGCACTCATCAAGAGCTTTCATTTGAGTACCCACATGCATTTTTGATATATTTGTCATATATACATATATATAATATATATAAATATAGAAAATATATGAAAAATTGATGTGGGTACTCAAATGAAAGGTCTCGATGAGTATAACATCGGGATGAGCTTATATCATTAAAAACTTAAAGGTTACAGACTTTATAAAAAATTTTTTATGTCTACCAGGTCCAATTTTACTTCAAAAAAATTATTCGTATACAATGAAGTATACACGGTGAGAAATTTCCAATGAATTTTACTATGGGCGCATAGTAACACTGAACTATAAGAAAACTGGTACAAAATTTACAAGTTCCCATAGTAAACAGTATGCGCAGAAACACGATTGTGTAGTCTGCGCATACCGTTTACTATGGGAACTTGTAAATTTTGTACCAGTTTTCTTATAGTTCAGTGTTACTATGCGCCCATAGTAAAATTCATTGGAAATTTCTCAGCGTGTAGTGAAGGGATTTACAATGTAATTAACAAGTAAAAAATCTGTATATAAGGAAAAACAAAATAATTTACATTTTTTACAGCGCTACATCAACGATACTAAGAATATTGCAAATTAGAATTCTCGGAGCTAGTTTTTTAATCCGGGATGTACTTCTATAGGAAAGGAATTATTCAGTCTTATAAGTACATGAGTATATAGATATATTAAATCATTGCATAAAATTATAGTTAATCTCAGAATAAAAAACCGGCCCTTACTAATAAAAACAATAAAAGATCTACATTATCGATAATGAACTCATTTCTTTACCGATTAGTTTTTTTCTATCTTGTGTCTGATAAAGTGGCGCTATTATCTCTGCACGTGGTACATAAAATAAAGCTGCTGTTTTATAAAATTTTCTCCGTAATGTTTCAATCTTAAAATGGAAATTTCCGAATTGTTTTTTTGCAACAATAAAAAATAATAATAAATTATTTTTCTTGTAAAGTACAAACCACTTTTTTAACTTCTCAAGAAAATTATATAAAAAAAAAAAAAGAATTTTTTTTACCAATTCGGTATGATGAAATTACAGTGAACATTAAGGCTTACTAGAGGATATAAATTGAATCTAGAAACTATAAGTCTCTAGCTAATAATAAGTTAGTCTTGAAGAGCTGTCACCGATCGACATTCGAAAGCTATTAAGAAGACGAGTCAGTAATGGACTTACTTTACACTACTACTCTATCCCTAGTAACTATTTCTCGTATTATATATATTACTATACTAGAGCTGGAGTGGTATATGTACTAGTGCGTAGAAGTACATGTATGGTAATAGATTAAAAAACAAGGACGTACGATGAGTTTATGAGAGTAAAGAGTCATCAAGAAAACGTTTTTTTTTGTATCGCTATGATGGTTTTTTCGAGTTAATCTTTTTAAGTTCATTAATCATATAGCTCTAATGATAATGACTTGCTCGATTGTAGAGATGATTTTTTTTTTTTTTTTTTTTTTAATATTAAATCATTATTCTAATAATAATGTTACAGTTGAGGTAACTGTTATCACAGTGTGCACAGGTGCATGACATTAAATGTAACGCAGTAAAAGTGAAGGGAATAACACATTCCAGTTGACCCGTTCACTATAAAATAATATCGTATAATAGTGCTCAAAATTATCGATCAGATACTAAATAATGTATAGATTGTTTATATAACTTTGAATAATTACAATTTTTCTTAAGTGTTTAGCTTTCAGGCAGTTAAATTTATGCGATATAGGAAAATCTGAGACGTTAATGCTGGTGATAAAATTTATTCGAAAGGTCGTTTGGTTGTTGTTATAAAAATTATTGCGTAATTGTTTGCAAAGAAACGCAGGTGTTTTTTTTTTCATTTATAGTGGGTTATAGACAAGGTTGCAAAATATTTAATTTGAAAATTTTGCATTTTTTATTTGAAATAAAATTATTAAATTATCCATTTTTTATATCACTAGTTTAATTTATTCTAATTATTAATTTTAATAAAATTTTTAAATATTTATTTGTTGAGACATGCATAAATTAAATTGTTATAATTATTAACTAGCAACCTTGCAGTCACTTTGTGACTACCGGGACGTGAAATATAAATAAATAAAATTTTGCTTTATTAAATAATCAATTTTGTTCAATTGCACTGTATTTTTTTAAATATTGACATTTTTTAAAATATAAGCTCATCCCGATGTTACACTCATCAAGAGCTTTCATTCGAGTACCCACATGCATTTTTCATATATTTGTCATATATACATATATATATGATATATATTTAAAAAATATAAGCTCATACCGAAGTTATACTCATCAAGAGCTTTCATTCGAGTACCCACATTCATTTTTGACATATTTTTTATATATACATGTATACATGTATATATATATATATAAATACATAAAATATATGAAAAATTGATGTGGGTACTCAAATGGAAGGTCTTGATGAGTGTAACATCGGGATGAGCTTATATCTTTGAAAATGTCTATAGCTTACAAGATACAAGGTCATTTCTTAATTATGTAATATATATTTTAAAGATATAAGGTCATCTCGAAGTTTCACTCATCAAGAGCTTTTATTTGACTACCCACATGGCATTTTTCATATATTTTATATATATGGTATTTGTGAAATATATAAATATATGAAATATATAAAAAATTGATGTGCGTACTCAAATGGAAGGTCTCGATGAGTATAATGTTGGGATGAGCTTATATCTTTAAAAATGTCAATCGTGCACAAGATAGAAGGTCATTTCTTAACTATATAGATTACTTAAAAAATTATTAATCATTATTTTTAGTTCAACTGTATAAGTACTTCTTTAAAGAATTTATTAAAGAAAAAAAATACTTAATATAAACTTGAACAATAATTTAAATTACAAAACGAACTGCCCAATTAACTTTGACTTAATTTTTCAAGAACACTATTAATTATCTTAAATTATGCTATCAAATTAGATAATTATTATCCTTGAAAATTTTAATTATCCATATGAAAAACTCAATTATTAAAAATCATCTTATAACACAATTTAAATTTTCTTAATTGGCCATAAAAATTACATGAACCATGAAAAATCGGTGAACAAACAGTTATATTCCTAAAGATTAATTATTCTTACCCCTAAACGTCTTTTCAATGAAATATCAATCATAATATGTTCATCTTTTTCTAAATCTTTACACTCATCTTCATTGTCCGTATTGTCATATTCAATTTTACGAGGCACATTATCAACTATCTTTTCCTCCTCCTCCTCTTCTTCTTCTTCGTTAGATTTAAGAGAGTCTCTGGTAATCACTGTCGTGTGATTTTTCGGCAGTGAAGGCGTGTGATGCACCCACTTGAGCATAATTATCACATAATCATTATATCCTCCCAAAAATGATGAATTTTTTCATAACAAACAATCATCATAAATCACAGGATGGAGAAGGTGATAGACTATCTACTTCACTTCATTACTTTCACAGTATCAGTTTTCACACGTGCCCTCATTAATGTAGTCTTTTAAAACTTATCAGACAATTAAATCCAGATTTACTATCCAAATACTAAACAAGATAAAAATAATTAATAAGATTATAAATTTAGAGCGAGATTAATTTTTTTATTTGTTTAATTTATTAAATAAACATTTCATAGTTTTTATCTACAGTATGTTTTTATTTTGGTAAATATAATGCTAACTATTTAGCATTTATAATAATAATAATAATAATAATAATTATTATTATTATTATTATAAAAAATATGGAGGATAAATTTTCAGCAAAAATAATTAATTTAAAGAAAATTCTTATCTAAATAAGTTGCCGCTTTGCAAGTGAAAATTTTGGACTACTTTTCGCCACCTATCGGATCGTTTTAGAACTAACTTCAAGCAATTTAAGCCCAACTTAAGAAAAATTATAAATAAAAACATAAAATTTAATTTTTAATAAAAAATTCCCATAAAAAAACAGAAAATTTTTGCATAATTATTAATATTAATATTTTAACGACAATATAATCAAAATTTCTACCAAATAGTAATTACTAACTAAAAATAGTAATTCTTAAATAAAAACTATACTTTTCATAACCGTTAATAAAAAAACATGTGATTCGATAATAAAATCTTTTTTCCCATCACAAGACGAAGAAATAAAAATAAAATGACAATCATCATTTAAAAATTCCAAAACAATAAACACGGACGCTGATTATTATTATCATTGCCAACATTTATCAGCTTTGTTAAGCAGTATCACGTCGGACAATTACTAAAAACACAACAATTGTGACTTGAAAGAATAATTGAAATATAAATAGGAAGAGATTGGAATTGGCATTAAATTAATGATTATCATTTTAGCGGATGGTCTTTCTGTCACTGGTTACACGCTTTCTACACACAGGAAACCGTGCCTTATTGCTCGTCCTCCGGATTAACTTTTTCCTCCTCTCGATCGACATTACAATACAATCAATACATTAAATTACATAGAATTTTACTTCAGATTCGCAGAGCACAATGCCGATCCGATCCAAGCTCGATTTCATTTCACGCCCATTCCCATTTTTATCCCAGAGCAATGTTTACTTTAATGATCAGGAAGGACTGTCGTTGCTCAAGTGGAACTCGCGACAGTACGGAAACAATAACTTTTTTTATTTTTTTTATGTAACTACCGAAACTGGGCATTTATCGTAATAATATAAAATTAACCACGTACTTAACTTTTTATTTCAGCAAAGAGAGGATTAGTAAAACCAATTAGTTAAAAAAAAATTACATAAAATATCAAAAACTATAATTAAATTTTTATAAAAAATTTTTCATTGAAATTAAATTTGACTCTTTTAATAAACAATTAAATTTTATATTTTTTAGTATAATAATAAAGTTAGCTATTTTTTATTTTTTAACTTATTATAGTTTTTCAAATTTTTTACAAATAAAATTAAAAAAAAAATTTTTTTGTAATGATTTTTTCAATAAAAAAAAATTCTAAAAATTTTTTAATATCGGCCAACTTTATTGTCATTTTTTTCGTATTAAAATTTAATTAATAAATTAATTAAATTAATTTTCTGTTATTTAAATACATTAATTTCCAATTATTATACTGCAAAAAATTTTAAAATTAATTAAATTAATTTTTTCTTGACGAAAAAAAAATTTTTCCGTATTTTTAAAAAATTCTAAATTATTAAAATTTTTTATAAAAAAATAAATACAATTTTAAATAATGCTTCTAAAGCATATATAAAATTAAAAAGTGTTAAACTGTCCACAAAAATAAAAATTTTTAACTGCGACAAGTTCAGTGAGATCAAACGCAAGATAACAATGACAATTGAAATTCCGTATCTGTAACTGTTGTTTCAGTTTCCTATGGGTCATGTTTTCCATAACAGAGCCACAATTTAAATATTAGAATAAATACAATGTCTTACAAGTTGACAACTGCGTGAGTTAACTTCCGGTTAAAGCATAAGCGCACTCGCACGAGCGAACAAGAAAGTAGGCAACCGGTTGCTCTCTGTATCGAATGCGTTTGTATAAAGAATTTCTTGGGGACATCTATGGGATTGCAAGAATTTTCTCAAGATCTAATACAAACTAACTCCACTGTATTCTATCAGCAAGCCCCATTAATGTAACACGCGATCCGTTTAATATTAATTTACTAGCATAATTATTCAAATATTAAATGATAATCCGAGAAGCACAATTGTTAATTGACGATTAATTAATTAAACCTCTGGATTCATTGTCTGATAAACTCATTCTCATAAAACACTTGAACTTATTAAAAAAAAAATTACTCAAAAGATCACCGATCGTTGATTAATTGATAATTGATAATTGATGACCGATTATTGATATTTTCACTTGGATCAGAACAAAGTGTCAGATAACAGAACAGATCCGTCACTTGCTGGACCGCGATGGTAACTGAGTTGATGTTGGTTGCGGTCAGCACAAGAGACCCCAGACCCCGTGGTCCTCTGCACAGTAGTATGGTAAGGCCCGTTCTTTCTGTTCGATATTGCAGCGCGGCTCAATGTTCTGTTGTACACTGGTGAAAGGAGTCAGCTTGTTCTGAGTTTTGTCAAATTATGGTGGGGGTACACTCAAATTGTATCAAACTTCGATATAATAATGAGACATATTAACATAATGTTTAATGATAACAATTGTAAGCTGCTTAAATGTTTGTGAGGTACAATACCTTCAAAATGGGCCAGTTTTTCATTCAATTGTATTACTTTGTAAATAAGCTTGTGTTGAATGAATTTTTATTAAGGAGACAAAATTTTTATTTGAATAGACAATTCGGTCCGGTTCTCCATCGTGCATACTGATGCCAAGAGCGTTGTAGTTAAGGAGTAATGACGCTAATCAATGGTAAGTGCGTTAAGAGCCGATATTTGATCCTTAAAATTGAAATCTCAATTATAAATTGTAAATTGTGGATTTTTTTATGCATTTTTTGTCGATGATAACTCGAAAGAAATTAGTAGGGGGTATTTTTTTTGTATATAAATTGTTAAGAGCCGATAATTGCTCCTTAGAATTGAATTTTTAATTATTAATTGTAAATTGTGGATTTTTTGTCGGGATAAATTAGTTGGGACTATTATTTTTGTATAGAAATTGAAAATAATGAGTAAGGAGCGTTTGGAAATAATTAAAAAAAAATAAATTTCTGTTTAAAAAAATTATAAACAATTTTATAAAAAAAAAAAAAAAAAACGGGGTTTTAGCAAATATTTTAAATCTTATTTTTGAGACTCAAAATCTTTGACCGGTAGCCGGCTGTACCTTGACCGAATATTTCCGCGGATTCTCTAAGGTTATTTTGTTAGGGTAGGTCACAAATAAATGCGGGTAGAGTTGAAGGAGATTTAAGACGGCCCCAGCCGCAAAATAAGTAATAATTATGTAAGTTATGAATTATTGGAAATACGACAATAACATCTAGACTGTTTTCAAGACAACAATTTTTTTTTTTTATTAACAATGAATAGCAGGATAATGTTGACTTTTTTTTTTTAATTTCGAAGAAGAATTTCTGATTTCATTTTTATTTTACTTTAATTATAAACTTCAATTGCCCAAAAAATTATTAGCCGAAGTTAAGAATATTTCATTTTTAAATTAACATATCCCTTTTGACCGACTTTCCCCTATTTATCAGAGTTTATTATTAGCCTAAGTGTTTAATCAACAAAAAATAATCGGACAAACAGGAAATTATGAGCCACCACAAAAAAAAAACTCTTCAAAGATTACAGAACTGGATAAAAAATATTGTTAAATTAAAATTTTCATTTTTTTCTAGCACACGCGTGATGAAAATAAATAAATAAATAAATAAACGCATGCGCTAAAATAAAAACCCTGGCGAGTACGGTCAGCAATGATACAGAAATTCGCGTCAGTTTTCGCACATTCGTGAATCAACCATTTTTATAACCTGTCAAATTAAGACGTTATAATTTCGAACGATTTATTATTCATTCTTATGCTTGTTTTTTATTTTCACTTTCATTTTTATTCATTTGAAGAATGCGGTCAATAAAATTTATACTTTCGGCAATAATATAATAAATAAAATTTAGATCTTGTGTGTTATCTTTCTTATATAATATTTGACAAAAATACAACAATATTTATGGGTCATAACTGTCTAAACGCTTAGATAAATTTATAGGAAATTACATTAAAAATAAATCTACAATCCGGCATATTAAACAGAACTAAAAGTTTCCTACTGTACAAAATAATTTTTTTTCTTTAAAAAAAAATTTAATTTTCTTAGCGGGATGTTAAAAACATAATTTTCATAGTTATAAAAGTGATTTACTATTTTTTAATGAATATCTATTATTATTAAGAGATATTAAAAATCAATAAATCATGTATTTTATCGCGTGGTTATTTTATTATCAATTTCATATATAACCTTTGGATATTTTCTCGCGGTTATTATCTTCGGATATTTAGCTAGTATTATTCTCCGCGTCATTTTCTAATTAAGCTTCCGAATTTTTTATAAATAGCACGCAACTTTTGTATAAAAATAAAAACAAATTGTTTATAAATTAAAGAAAATTTTTATTGCTTTTTTAATTTAAATTCAATATTAACAATTCAAAAAATACAGAATAAATTTCGTTTAAAAAATTTCTTCAACCTTTAATTGAAAATTTTTTCTATAAAATGTTTATTCAGATGACAACAATCGTATTCCATTCTATATTTGGATTTTATGCGTGTTTTATTATATAAGTGTAAGTATATTCATGAGTAAATTAAATACACATATATGATTCAGAGAAAAAATATAATTTTATAAT